TTGACCTTGTTGGGGGGGTGTGGCTGGTTACAACTTGGCAGGGTCGTCTTCGGTTAAAATCATGAGTTTAAAATACAAGAAGCCAAGTCTCAGATCATTTCCAAAATCCTCTGTAAATTTCTGTTATTTTAGTGACCGAGTATCTCTCCTCCTCTGCAAAATCTGGACTAGCCGTAGAAACACGCCGTGTTTAGTTGGGCCATGTTGTTGGAATACAGACTGGGTGCTACTGGAGAATGTTTAACAACCAAGAGTCGGCCTTTGTTGACACTGGCCCTTTAGCACAAAATCATCCCGATGTTAAGTGTCTCTAACCACAACCCACCAGAAGCATTGATGGGCTCCAAGATGTGCCGAGTAGCCAGCGGTGCATCCCGGTTTGTGGGTGATGGTTGGTGTCACTCAAGCTAGCACTGCCATCTGCTGATACCTGGCAGGAACTCGCTTCAGTTTAGTATGGATACAAAAAATAAATCAGCTTTAATCTCTTTGTGTACCTGGGTAGCTTATCAATGACGCATATGAAATCAATTCTGAAATATTGTTTGCAGCAAGGTGTTTTCCTCTTGGAGAGGGAGGTACAAGTGCAAACTGGGAATTCTGGACCCCTCAAATCACAAACCTTTCCAGTCACTGAGGAAAAAAATGAAGTTTCGGAAAGCCATGGTTTGGCATCTTTCCACAGAATATTCGCTACAGAATGTGGGTCGTAAGTGCAGAAAAAGATGAAATTCATGGGAGTTCTAACCAAGACCATGGAGGAGCTTCTGTGATTGGGAGTTTGTAAAAAAAAATACATATTTAAAATCATATGAGTGATTATGATACTTTTCTACAGATCGCCAGGACCTTGAAGAACCAATGAAAGTGGATAAGCTTCAGGAACCGTTGCTTGAAGCGCTGAAAATTTATATCCGGAAGAGACGACCCAACAAGCCTCATATGTTCCCAAAGATCTTAATGAAAATCACAGATCTTCGTAGCATCAGTGCAAAAGGTAGAGTGTCTTGGTGTCTGTCCTACAAGGAAAGGCTGAGGGAGCTGGGCTTGTTCAGCCTGGAGAAGGCTGAGAAGGGGACCTTACAAATGCTTATAATATCTTAAAGGTGGGTGTCAGGAGGATGGGGCCAAGCTCTTTTCAGTGGTGCCCAGCGACAGGACAAGGGGCAATGGGCACAAACTGAAGCACAGGAAGTTCCGTCTGAACATGAGGAAGAACTCCTTCCCTCTGAGGGTGATGGAGCACTGGAACAGGCTGCCCAGGGAGGTGTGTGATGCTCCTTCTCTGGAGAGATTCAAGACCCACCTGGACAAGGTCCTGTGCAGCCTACTGTAGGTGACCCTGCTTCGGCAGGAGGGTTGGACTAGATGACCCACAGAGGTCCCTTCCAACCCCTACCATTCTGTGATTCGGTAAGAACTCAGCAATAGTGTCAGTGTTACGTTTCAGAGGAAACTGGCCTGGAGACCTGGGTGGAGTTTTTTTAATGTATGTAAGAAAGGTGCTTGTGACCTTTCTCTCCCCTTCTTCTTTATGCAAGCCCCCCATTTAAAGTGGTTCTGCTTTAAACATACGTGGTGCTACAGTCTTCATGCAACGTGCAACGAAAGCGATGTCTTAGGTGTAAGTGGGTTAGCAAATCATTAGCGTGAACTCTTTGTTAGTCATTTTAAGACAAGATAAAACCCTGAATTAAACCTTTGTTAAGGTTTCCACACGGGTGCAGGTCAACCTGTACTTTGTATCCCTAATGACTTTCAAAAACCAAAGTCTGTTTACAGACAACAGAGACACTTGTGCACCCAAAATTCCCCTGACCTGTGGTCTGCAGATCTAGAACTGATCCGATCCGGGATTTTGGAGATTCAGCACCTCTAATCCAAACTAACCACCCTTACACCTAGGTCAGTTTTGTTCTCACGTTTTCTGTAGCCTGGTGTGTGGTCGGTTGATCGTGCGGAAGGCACGCAGCCTGCCCTGTGCTGGGGAGGGGGCTGCGGCGGCGGCGGTGACCCTGCTCCTCCCGTCCGCGTAGCCCTGTCTCCCCACCACCCAGCTGCGGACGTGGCCAGCTGTCTGGCGTGTGTTCATCTCCAGAATCCCGGGGAGCTGTGGCAGAGCTGTGCCAGCCTGAATAGCCAGAGGCTGAAGTGCCGCAGTTCTTATTTTTTACAGTGGTTGATGCAGTTCCGCTTCCTTGCTGTGCTTCCTCAACTACAGATTTGCATGAGCTTGTACGTGCAGGTACCGATGTAGCTATAGATTGGGTTTATGCTTTTGAAAAAATTACTAATTTCATTTGACAGGGGTTTTGAGAAGACTTCAGGGGAAAAAAACAGCTGTTAAATCACTTCAGTACGCTTGTTTTATGTTACAACCTAAATGGCTACACTTTATATATCTAAGTTCAGAGATTAAGCTATAGCTATGTCTATAGAAAGAAGTGCGCGATTTAATTGGATTGATGCAGGAATTGTGTTTAGTCCTGCGCCCGCTGTCCCGCAAACCCAGCTCTAGAGAAGAATGCTCGTTGTTACGCCTGACACAGCGTAACCCGGACGGTTGTGTCAGATGCAAACAGGATCAGTGTTTCTGGGTACTGCTGTGGTGCGTTAGCAGAAGAGAACATGCCCGAGAACTACGGAGGCAGCTTCACAAAAACAGTATCCTTTTGCCTGAATTTGTTCTTTTATAAAACCACAGTTTGTTAAGTTCTGATTCTTATTTCACAGTTTTCTGTGTGGGAGAGAGAGATGTTCTGACTTCCATCACTGCAGTTCTGACAGGGTTCGCCTCACCCATTGAACGCAAATCCCCAGAATTCTTGTCGTTCTGTAGTCACTGCAGAGCCAGTACAGACTGAAACCTGTAAGGTAGATTCCAATTCATAAAGGCATCTGTGTGGTCACATTTGAATTTTCCAGTATAACTCAGTGCCATTTTGGTTCCTGCTATGAAAAGCAGCAGTTCTTCCAATTTACCTGTGTCAGTTGCCGTGTCAGAATTTTAAATTAATTTGTTAAGGACTCCTGACCTAACTCCTTGTTCTTGTAATGAATGAAGTCGTTCCCTTACATAATTTTGTATGCAGGAAGTATAGAAGGAGGCACCAGCTCCATTAAAATAACGGACCCTGAAATTACTACTGATGATGCCAGCCAAAAGGAAATTGTACGACTCACACTAATGGAAAGGACTTTTTGTTTCCTCTCTACAGGTGCGGAACGTGTCATTACATTGAAAATGGAAATTCCTGGATCCATGCCACCTCTCATTCAGGAAATGTTGGAGAACTCTGAAGGACACGAGCCACTGACACCAACCTCAAACGGCAATACCGCAGAACACAGCCCCAGCATCTCACCCAGTTCAGTGGAGAACAGCAGTGTCAGTCAATCCCCTATGGTGCAATAAGACATTTTCCAGCTACTTCAGACATTCCTAATACCTTATGTACAGGGATGAAAAGCAAGAAAAAACATTTTTACTGCTGCTTAGTTTCTGGACTTAATATATATCTATATATGTATATATATATAGATAAAAACTCGACAAGGACCAAGAAATTTTCATATGTATCGATATATACTCCTTGCTGTTTAAACTCTTAAAACTAGAAAATGCAAACTTTTGAAACTCTAAATCAGCCATTTCATGCAAAAAAAATAGTTAAGCTTCTGTTCTCTCCTCCGAACATTCAAGATTGCATGGTGACAAGACAGATCTCAAAGTTTAAATCCCGGTTGCATTTCTGATGACTTTGTACATACAGATGTGTGGCTGTGCTTTCTGTTCTGGATGTTTGGTGCTTTCCTTTTGCCTCCTGTACTGAAAGGACCGGGACACCAACCGTACGGAATGGACTACTGTGCCCATCCAGACAAGGAAGTTTAAAGGACCGTCTGATTTAGTTCGATACAAAAACTTGTCTTTGATGCCCTCAATTTGCATCTCCTTCCTTGTAAAAAGTATCCAAAAACTCACTGCACTAGCAGAAAAGACATCAATAGCAGCATTAACTGCCAGCTCAGTTACTTGGATGTCATTTGTTCCACTGTCAACGTCACTTTAAAATTTAAAGAAGTGGTTTCTTACTTGGCTGGTGACCTAGCTACACCATTAACTACTCCATCTCTACAGTAATGATAGCCTCCAAGGCAGAAACACTTTTTAGTGTTACCATGTTTTTGTTTACTTGTTCACAAGCCATTAGGGAAACTTCATGGGATGATAACCAGCAGGCTCACGTACACCTTCTGAATCGGCGAGTCCAGGGTATTTCCTTAAGAATCGACTGCCCGGAATTCGCTGGGTCACCCAGCCTTCCCGGTGCTAGGGAAGTACAGCTAGGACTTCCAGAAACACAAGGAGAGAATCTGCCTTCTTGGCCTTGTTAAATCACCATGAAGCAGAGTGAAAACTGTGGTAGAATGGTTAACAGATTTAAAGTGTCAGTTTCTTAGGTTTCATTTAAAGCACTAGTGGATTTTTTTTTTTTTTTTATATATTCTAGCAAGTCTGTGATGTACTTTCACTGGCTCTGTTTGTACATTGAGATTGTTTAACAATGCTTTCTATGTTCATATACTGTTTACCTTTTTCCATGGAGTCTCCTGGCAAAGAATAAAATATATTTATTTTAAAAAAACCCAACTGTGTAGAAGTAGTCGCTCTAGTCCAAATTTTTACACACACGCATAGTAGTTTTCCATTTTTTAATGTTTAAACTTCATTTCAAAAAGCAGGTTTGCTGTTTGCAACCATGACAATTAAAATGTGCTTTAGCACCGCTGTCTAGAACATCTCTACAAGCCAGTCAGACAAATACATGACATTTCAATGAGTAAAAAAGAGCATAAAACTGTAGGTGTAAGAACAAAATGTTAAAATGCCTACACACAATAATAAAAACCATCAATTACATTATCACATAAAATAAGTCAAATGTACAAAAGTTTGCGACAGAAGGGACAAAAGGACAACACAAGATATTTGTTGGAAAACATTTGCGTGCTCTTTGGGCACTTAATTAAACATATCAAAATCATCATCTTCGTCAGACTCTGCAAAATATTTAACTTCTTTCCTAGCCCGGCCTGTCCGTGGCTTTGGGGCAGTTTCAGAGGTGAAGCCTGACTGAAAGATTTCCACATCAGAATCCTGGTCAAAAGCGGCCTTCTTGGCTTTCTTTAGAAAAGAAAAGACAAATCAGCTGTGATGCCGCGCACGTTCTCCCTTTTAATACTCAGAATTGAAGAAAACCTCCTCTAACCTCTAATTTCTAAACACATCTAAACCCTCATTATCGTATTAGCATCCCATAATAAGAACGTGTACCTTTATGTAAAGTACGCCATTAGGTGGTTCTTACGAGGAGAGAAGAGTGTAAGGTGGAACTGACCTTGCTTGGTGTTGATTTAGGTGTTTTCTTCCCAGGGTTGTATTCACCTTCATTTTCTGAACTGGATGCTTTCCTTTTCTTTGCCCCTCTGCCTTTTCCTAGGTGAGAGATTTAACTTTGTTTTCTTTTTTTTTTAATAAATAAACCTCCAGAGTTCAGCAAACTGAAAAAAACCTAGTGAAATTACTTTAGTACGTCTACATGTTAGAGTTCAAATTTAGTTAACAACTCAAGCTTCTTCACCACAGCAGTAAAATACAATATATTTTATTTTCTCTGCTTTAAATCTTTTATAGTTCTTTCAAAGTTACCATTCACCCAAGCAATTCAAGCTGCTCATTCAAAACGGGGACAAACTTCATTAGGTAATGACTTCTGGACTTCTGAAGTAACACAAGTCCTCGGTCACCTTCTGTGCCGATCACACAGTGTTAATTCACCTTTGCTATTTAGTAAATTTACTGTTAACCTCAACTGTTGACACTGGCACATCCTTTACAGAGTCCTCTGAGTACACGGCTTGGTTTCTGTGTTGGGAGGACTCTGACAACCGAGAACTGGGACACAAACGAATTGGTATAAAAAAACCCCAGAAAACACTACTTACTAGAATTACTACAAGAATTTTACTGTCTTGTAAAAAGCTGAGATCAAAGAAAAGAAGCAGTATCCAGTAGAGCTGATGAACAATAAAAGGGAGGGGGTTGGAGCTATTAAATACATTCCCAACAGTGAAGGTCAGATAAAAAGTCCATGCACTGTTTGTCACGGAAAGTCATTACGCTGTATTTGCCACAGAAAAGGCTCATAGCTGAGTAATCTACTAGTGATTAATTTACTAATAAATCAATGATGTGGTTCTAATTTGAGAGACGCTAGCTCCGCTTCCTCACAAAAAAACGACTGTGAGCCTGTGTTAGGGAGAGCGCAGGCGTGAGTGCTGAGCAGCACAGCACCAAACGCTTACCTTTGGGTGCTGCAGTCTTCTTTGGAATGCCGAGACTCCTTGTATCTGCAGCTTCCTTTGTTCCCTGATAAATGGGTTGTCGGAATCTGAGTCAGAGTTCACAGTTTCCACCTTCTTGGCCTTGGGAGCTCTTTTAGGTTTAGGGGGCACATCTAGTTTTGCTGTTAGAAGTTAGAGATACTAAAGATGTTAAATTCATGTATTGGTTAGAAGTATTAAATTTTTATTAGATACGCCAATTACAGCATAAATGGCAGCTATTAAAACAAGAGGAGCGGTTTCTGCACTTGGGTAAAACACAGTTCCGCTTTTATGCTAAAGCTGCATGGCATAAACAGGAGGTTTATCATACTTTGAGGCGTATCAGTGCATTGAGTAGGTTCCAGTGCTTTGATCAAATACATTTTCATCTTTTCGAGCACAAAGCGGGTCACCAGTAACTACAGCAGCGACAGAAGTTGTCCAGGCTGGATACTTCAAACGCGTCTGGCTACATTACAGATACAGCTCACTGCTTGTGACATTTTTGCCTTCACAGTGACACAACTGCAGGACAACCTTGCCCATGACTACTGCAGGAGTTTGAGAGACAGCGCGTCTGACTCGCTGACGTTGTTTTCTGTCAATCTCAGTGAAAAGGCACTTCAGAGGAAGCCGGAAGGACAGGAAGGGGACACACCTGTGGATTTCTTACAGCATTTCAATTACTGCTATGCAACTAGGCTTGCACTCTTTAAAGGACAGTTATTGGTATGTTCACACAATGGGCGACAAGGGACAGAATCACAGAATCATTTAGGTTGGAAAAGACCCTTCCCATCATCGGATAAGGTGTTCTGTATGCTCACAGACGAGTCAGGCTTTTGCAGGAACCTCAGATACACTCGTGACCTACGCCCTATCAGCCATGAACACCTCAAAGATGATGAGACACATGTAAAAACACTCCAGATACCAGGAACGTTGGACGTTTCTGAGAAGCCAAGCTTTCATTTATGGTATCACCAGGGGAATGTGTTCAGACAACAAGAAAGCATCTCCACAACCTTTTTGGCTAGGATTCCTTAAAATGCTGCCGCTGGAGAGGCAGTGCACAAAGGCAGTTACGTCTTTCCAGCTTTTTGTGCTGATACCTGCTGGGTAGCCCAAGTATCAGGTCCTGACAACACAAAAAATAAAGCTGCCTTTGGCATAACAGATGGGAACAAAAATGGTGTTGGCTACAGCAGCATTTCGGATAAGAACTGGAGAGGGAAGCCACAATACTTAGGATGGAAGTCAGGAATCACCATTTGAAAGCAACTTGAAATAATAGGTCTCTCTAGGCATCTCAGCTGGAAAAAAAACTGTTTTACTTTGTGCTAATACAGCTAAGTAAGCCACAAAGACCTACCAGTAAGCCTGGAAAAAGTACACAGCAACTGAAGGCAGAAGGAATACTTTCTAGAATCATCACCAAAACTAAGTATCTAGTTATCAGTAAAGGAGGGGGCAGTGTTACATGATTTTAGGTCCATTAAGGCAACAAAGTCCTTCATACAGGAAAAAGCTTTATCAGCATAAGACACATAGGCTAAGGAGCAGGGAAGGGAAAGATTCAGAAGGATCATCAACTTGAAGGTGACAAGCAGAAGTTGTGACCAAGAGGATCTTAGTAGAAGGAATCCATTTCACATCTAGGTGGCATTCAGTATCGGGTGCTGAGGTTTAGACGTCCTCCTACAGCATTGTGTATGTTTTGGCCAGGTAATTGTGCCTTGCACCATTTCTCATGCTGTTAATGTGAAATTTGTATACCAGACAGAAGCCAAGTATGCTCCACTGACAGGTACTACCCAGCACATAACTGTGAGATCTAACTAACTCCAGCTGGCCCCGAGTCCTCGAGTTATTGTTAACTGATGTTAGAAAAGGGGCAGAGTTCTCACTGACAGACAAGGAATTGGAGAGAAGGAAATCACTGGGGAATGAAAGAGAGGTGTGACTCACTGCCATGAATACTAGACTTGTTCTTCCCTTGAAACAGAGCCTGTCATCACTGGTCAACTCCTGTGGAGTCTACCTGCAGAACACCAAGTTCAAAGGACAGCAAACCTCTTAACTGTTACCTGATGGCTAAAGCAACAGTGTCCATGGCTTCCGGAACACGCATCTCCCTCTCTACTAGCTCTAGTGGGACTCTGAACTGCTACGTTAGATTATATACCTAGTGCCTGCACAAGTGGGAAGGGTCTCCGACAACAACCAGACCAGAATCAGCTCTGCCAAGCTCTCCACTAAGTATCAATACATGAAATG